GTATGGTTACATGTTGGTACAAATAAAGTCAATTTACAATATTAACACCGTGCATTTCTTATAATTTAGAGACTCAACCTTTTTTTTGAATAAACTTGTAATTCAACGGGCTTATTTACAGTTATACGAGTTTTATTCAAATGTTTGAATTATATACGATGTGCTTCCACGTATGTCAATATGGTTGAGTTAACCAAATGCCGAAATAAAATCGTGCACGAAATCCTTATGTTAGCAATAGCACACGTAATCCACATCCGATGACATTTCAGCAAGCAAATCTGTGCGAGTCCGGTGATAACTCCTTCGACTGGAATTGTATGGGCGTTGGTAATATGTATATTTTATAAACGCCTAACGAGCGACTGTGTTTCCTGTTTACCATGAATAAAAGTGATTTGATCGTTAAGCAGAACACGAAAACAGGCGAGTGAAGTTTAGCACTTGTGCATAGAAGATATTAACAAGAACCACACCAATATATCGGCAAACTTTCTGTCTTCAAAAATCATAAAATCATGACTTTTCTGACGATGCATGTAATTTTACTATTAAGTCTTCGTAATAATATTGTAGCGTCGGATTTATCTCTAGTGTTACGGCAAGCTGAGATAAGTGAGTCACATGATAAATCTTCCTCCACAGTCAAACAACCCCCATGATCGACACTATGGCGGCAGAAAATAGCGTCAACAATTCCTTTTTGTAATTGTTTGACGCTGACGTGAGCGCAAATAAATTGCTGTCGGACATTTCAGTGGGGCCGCTGCTACCGTCAAACATTTACGTCATTAGCGTCAAAGAATTATGTACAACAACCACTCGAAATCAGGATCGAACTTTTTTCACACACTGACGTTGATTGGTCAATCAGATTAACACAACCGGGATCAATTTTTTGCATATCAAAAATATATAATCTGTTATTCTCAACATATAAATTTCTCGAAATCATCAATCATATACTTTATTTATAGAAATTATTACACCATCATTCATATTATTTAGCGAGTTCGACAGCTTGTTCATAAATGCACAATTTAGATCATCAAAAAATTGCTCCTTTTCGCATCATATTCATGGCAAAGCCAAATTTCTCCTAAGCATGATGATGCTCTTGGTAATCGACGATATTCCAAACTGAGATTTGCATCAGCTGCAACGAGTTTAATCAATCTAAATAAAAAAGGTTGATATATGTTAAATATTAATATTTATCAATGATATAATACGTACACTAATCCTGCGCTAATTAGATTCTTTCGTTTGATATTTGTTCACCTTGAAGAAGAATATGGCTTTGATATAGACGATACCGTTCATTTGCACTGTCTGCATTACGTATATATGGCGCGGATAAATAGAGCTTTTAAGAAACAATCATTCCATTCGAACAGAAATCGCTGTTACAATTGTGGTAAGTTGGAATGATATAACAAATGGTATGGAGTTGATGACAATTATGGAGTTGAAGAAACTCGTGATAGCAATGAACAAGATGATAATGAAAACAGCGGTGATATTATAGTTGACGAGAATTTTGGAAATTTATTAACTAGGAATGAATACGATGTCCTCAGAGATCAGTTTAATCCAACTGATGAGGATGAAAATTCTGGTATCAATATATTCTTAGGCGCCGCTGTACTCGTCCGACAATTACTTCAAAAATAGTTCGCCATTGATCAACAAAAATGTACAGCGTATAGCAAACAAGAGAATAAAATCCCCTTGTCTAAATTAGATCAACGATCGATCCGTATTATCAACTGATTGACCAATCAACGTCAGTGTGTGTGAAAAAAGTTCGATCCTGATTTCGAGTGGTTGTTGTACATAATTCTTTGACGGTAGCAGCGGCCCCACTGAAATGTCCGACAGCAATTTATTTGCGCTCACGTCAATGTCAAACAATTACAAAAAAGGAATTGTTGACGCTATTTTCTGAATTTCAATTCGTAAAATAGTGAATTTAAATTCAGACTTTTGTCCACTCCGGCGTGTCATACTACTCTAATATTTTAGTTCAGTTTCACGAAAAAGCATTAACAGCGTTTGGGAAAATCCGCAGGAAACAAAATGTTGCGACAGCACAAAACGCTATAATTAGTCTATATTTAATTGTTCTTCTAGAAATAGTTAAAAGTGCGTTGCGTTTTTTCCACGACGCTCGAAGATATATAAGTAGCTCAAATTCCATCGTCAAAAGATCATGTTGTAATGTTGTCATATTAAATGTTGTTACGAATAAATAAAATATTACTGATCTTAGTAGTATTCTTCCGCAATTCTTTATTATAATATACAATTTTTATTTTCTATCGTCGAAATAATTGATTATTAGGCCGAACACTCCAATAAACGGCTCACTTAAGCTGTAACGGAATAGCATTGATTTGATCAAGCTAGAAAGTCCGTGGATCAATTACGTGAATGACGGAACGAGAGTTCATAATTAATTATCGAGACGAATATTGTTTAATTAGTTTAGATAGAGCAAGTGACGGATACCGACTAGTCGAAACACAAATCGAAGATAGCCCTGTTTAAATTTAAAAATAGTATTATTTCCCCTTCGATTCTTTGGTAGAATAATTGTTGCTATTATTTATTAGAGGACCCTTATTTGTATTCACGAGTCTTTGAAACTCGGATAGGGAGTGAGAAGCGTGCATAATTAAAAATAGGTCACATGAGTCTTACTATCGTAGTAAGGGCGCTAGTACGAGCTAAGCCTGGTAACATCCCCCGGTCGCTCTCCCAAACCCCATTTATTTCCCGACCGTAATACTAGCCTGCCGGACCCATATGTTTAGAAATTTGGCTGATACTCTCCGTATTTATATGTTTACAGCAGCAAACAATTGCACGATTAATAATTGTCTGTATTACATATTCGCCAGTTAAAATTTAAACTTGGATTCCTTTGCTTACAATGCCATCAATCATATGATCGATACTAGTAAAAAAATAGTTAAACAAGAATACAAGATGAACCCCGTTATAACGAAGAGGGCGGTGCTATTAGTATTAGTAAAAAATTCGGGTTAAACAAGGTTTACATGGTAGATTCGGTTTAATGGGGTAAATCACTATTTACTACTGAATAACGGGTATCACTTAGTGCTTCGTTATAACGGGGGTTGCCTAGGACTCTTTAATATTTATCCGCCGCCTTTACCGCTTTCACCGCGTTATTCCGTCATGTACCTCTTTCCCCGTAATAATCTGGATTATTGCTTCGATCAATCAAAGTGAGAATGAGTATAGGCCAGTTTGAATTATGTCACCAATGATTTTGAAGATTGTAAGTACCAACTAATAATTCCCGACTGCCTTACTCGAACCGCGAGCAAAACTATTGAAAGTCATGGAGACCAACAACAATTGAGTCGCTATCTTTATGTCTTTGCTAAAGAGACAGGTTAGTCTATATCAATATAACTAATATCTTTGGTTGGCCATAAGAAATAGAGCCCAAGAATAAAACATTAGTACGTTTTTACAATTGTTTACAAGTAACAAGTAACTCGTCATTGAATAGCCCATGTGATCCAAAGACTAAAGAAACATCCAAGCAATCAAATTATTAGAACGATTTATTAAATCTCTGAAACAAAGGATGTTTTCCGATTATTCTAAGAATGTATACGCTGTTGTTGTTGAAAAATAATCCATAGTGCATAAATTATGTGACTATGTCAAATAAATATCAATCTGATCTTATTTTGATTTACGTCGACCCGATTTCGAACCGAGTCACAGATTGTGATTTGGGTCAATTTGTTATTACCAATATACTTCTTTTTCTTCGTTGCAGTTGTTGCTATTGCAGTTGTTACTGCAGTTGCTGTCGTTATTGGTGTCTTAAACCACCAAGAAACGGTAAAACCATATAATGCATTAGTTTCTGGACGGATCATAACATGGTGAGTGTATGGGGACTTTTTTGTGATACGTCTATGGCTTGTGTTGAATATAAGGGAAGGTATAATTTACTAATTTTGTGTGTTATGACTTAATGTTGTCAATGTTGTTTACTGTATCGTGTGAATAAAATAATTCAAACAAATATTTACTTGTGGCTGGGGGGTTAATTATATCGTCATGATTTAACGCAACGTAAGTTGATATTATTATTTTTCCATTTAACAGAAATGCGATTATTACAATCATCGTGTGAAGAAGTATAGTAGGCTCCCATAGAAATGTTTGTGCATGCATATGAATGGTACGTCATCGGACTAGCTTTTATGTACCCATTGCATTTACTAGACTTTCCCAATGTGGTTAATCAGCTGTGATCATAACAAATTGTATGAGATCAGAATTACGATCAACAAATTATTATTATTTATATTGCGATTTTTAATAAATACTATCCGTGTGATATACAATCGATATTTATAGTTTCATGTGACATCAAGCTCAAAGAGCACTATCATATGATCTGAATTCGGGCTAAATGGTTTATATTTAGGACTGGTTTATATTTAGGAGGGTTAGGACAATTTAGATATAGCTTAGGACACTAGGGCGAAACTAAGGCGAAAGAGTTTAGCCCGAACCATTAATCTGGATGCACCGTGAGGAATTTAGTTTATCATGTGACTTAGTAATCGATATAATCGCAAAAACAATTTAAAAACTCTACAGATTCGACTTTTTCTTGGCTCTCCAGATTTGAATTCTTTAATAATTGAAAATAATGTAAGTGCTTACTGTTTCCATTTATTTAACTCTATTAGTTCAACTGTTTTTTAAGATATTAACTCGATTTTATCTATATCTCCGGATTTGACTTTATAATAAGAAAAACTCTCAACCATCAAATAACAATAATGAAAGGAATCCAAATTTTTATTTTTGCCTTTACTATCGTTGCCTTGATCTCAATGGGAAATGCAAACCCGCTTCCAGAGAATCAACAGAAAAGATGTCCTCAATGGAGCAGTGAAAAATTTCCTGGAGCTTGTATTCAACGATATAACGGGGAGACCTGCAACAGGCTTTGTGCTACAGAAACTCATAAAGGAAACCAGGGAAAGTCTGGATTTTGCCATTTTGATTTTCCAGGATTTGCTTGTTTCTGCTTTGCATGTTGATTTATAAGATTGAAATACATTTTTAAATATTAATCTTGTGAATTAACATCTATCTTTAAACTTTCACGTACCTTAATTATATTTTATAATTACGTTTCCTTTACTTTATTCCTTATAAGTTATAAATCTGAATTTTATTTTATCTTTTGTTAATAAATGCAAGTCTTAGTCTTGAAAGAGAAGTAATATGATTGTTAATTATTATGATTTTCTGTTTGTGCGATAATAAATATTCGTTCGTAACAGCATGATCAATCGGAATTTACAAGAATGGGGTCGTTGTAGGAAATTGAATCGGTTGGGAAAGGTTCTATTGATTTTATAAGAAGAAAAGGCATTTAGAAACATGGCAACAGTAAAGATGACGGAAGCATTCAGAACAAATATTTTAGGTAATCATGCAGAATTTCGAATTTCTAAATATATGATTAGGTTTATTGAATATCTATATCACACACATTATATAATCTGTTAAAAAGCATGGCACATGAGGTCCAACTTTATAAAAAATATATTGCTCCATGATGCGAATACAAGTATAAAATTGATTTTTATCAAAAAGATTTAGCGTCATCTCTCATCGCAACATTATTTCCATCATTTTTATGAATTAGTAGTAAGGTTTTTTCTCTAATCAAAGTTTGAGTGCTCTGGCTGTTTAAATAAAACCAACAGTCTATACAAGAGCAAATAAATATTTTTACCTTGTCGACATCGAATGTCTGCAGGTTCTGTTGGTCTTGCTATAGAAGCAATAAGAGGCATCGAAGATTAAAGGTCTGTGTTGCCATAAAGAATGGATTGCACCAGTATAATGATTTTTTACATACTTTATAGGCAACAATGTACAATCAACGATAGAGCTACATTTATGAATAATGGATGCTGGATGGACCACTTTAAGATTGAAGCATATATTGCGATGATGAGAGTAAACGTGCAACGACTAACTCACATAATTAATGTTAAAGTGAACGTATCAAAGAAAGATGAATGAATGTGCTTCGTTTTTTTAACACGTTAATTTTATGTTCGTCAAATAAGCAATAATTTTATAGTGCCAGCGTTTTTGATATCAAGTTTGTGTAAATCTGCAAAGTGACATAATAACAGTGTTATGGCGAAAAAGTATATATAGTTCGGAATTATCGTTACGTGAAAATGTTCGAATCACGAAGCTGATGTGGTACTTGCTGAACAGTAACAAATCGCGCGCCATATTTGTCAAATTTCACTGTCCTAATGTTAGTTACACAAAGTAACGTTCGTTCTCTAATTTCAACGTACTATGAGCATGTAAGGCTTCTTCACCTTTCAGTATAAATGGTTCATCAAAACCTTATAATTTCTCATTATCTATTCGTTTATATAACACTAGTGTAATGATTGCAAATCATATTCATACGACGGATTATTGTGTCTTGGCCTGCAGTTTTCTTTGTAACATCAGAATATGTCAACGTTAAACTTTTTTCACAGGTGTATTGACGATATAAGTAATGACACGGAAGAGATATACATGTGTGCTTCAATACTTTGACATAGTTATGTTAATATGTTAATTTACTT